GGCCTCCTGGCTTTTGTGTAGTTTCTTTCCCAATGTCTTTCCTGAAGCTTCGTTCCTGACAGGAAAGGCTTTAAACTACAATATCCTTTGGGCAGAGGGGTAGATTTTGGCCCTGTCTCCTTTGCCTTTGGTCTCCCCACCATAGGAATGCAGCTGTCATGAGCTTCTCCAAATTTTTTTCAGTCTTTAGGCTGAAAAATGTTCCCCACCAGTGCTTTGGTTTCAAAGGGTGTTGGAGATCTGTTTCACTGGACTTTATTATATCTGTGGCCTTATTTAAGCAGATAAGAAACAGCATTTTAATATCTGGTTAGACCTGATTCTTACAATATTAATTTGCTTTCACTTACTGTGAGAAATGGAATGTTACTGTTACGAAGTGTTAAGGTGAAAACCAAAGAAAGAGTGAAATACAGGGTTAGGACGGGATCATTGAGTCTCTTAAGACCAAAAAGCCTGAGAATCGAATCATGTAAATAGTTGTACTAAGGGAAATAGTGTTTCTTACATCAAAGTCCTGAAAAACACCAGAGGGGGTAAAAATTGGGGGACCATGGTAAAACTGTCACCTTCAGTGGAAGAGAGCAGGCCGTAAGGAGCCTGGAGGAAGGCCTGTGCTTCCTATCTCATCCTCCCACAAGATTTAAGAAGCGAGTTGGCGTCAAGTAGGAATCTGCAAGGCCACTCTGACCTGTTGAACTTTTAGAAGATATTGCGCATGCTTAGTAGGTGCATGAATAGTAGCTGACACACCTCTCATAGGTAATGAGCTCATTAGCATGAACATGGGATGTATGTGCAGGAGGGGGAGCATATCAAGGGGTAGTATGATGTAGGGGGATGGAGAAGATTGTACCTTCTGAGTAGCCCAGCCAATGGGGGGAAAGAGGAAGGGTCTGCCAGCCAGGAAAAGGGAATAAAAAGCAATGCTTCGCGTGTAAACAGCGTGCTGCCTGTGTGGTGGGCGCCTGCTCTTGCAAGAATGAATTAAACTGTACTGCTTGGTACTTTGCCTCCATATCGTCACTACTGAGATTTACTCCTGACATTACTCTCTCTTTCTGTGAGTAGCATTCAGTGGGCTAGACCCCTCTTGTTGCATTTTGACAATCCCTGGGCACAGGTATTTTTAACTGCAGACATCACATACCCACAGCTTTATTTGACATACAAGATACCCGTTTCTTTTGGATCTGTGCACCATGCCGGGTGGAAAGGGGCATGGAGGAGCAGAAGAGGAGAACTGTAACTGGGACTGCTGTACTTGCCCATGTCAGTGAGTAGCACTTGAAAAAGGGGACACTTTTCTATTGTTCCCAGTTGTTCCTATTGCATCATGGCCTTGGCAAAGGTGTTGTCACCTCTTCTTACCGACATATACAACATCTTTTCAGGACCATGTTCCTTGCCAAGGTTGAATATGCAAAGACCCTGGTGGGACAGGAACTATACAGTCTGTTTATAAGAGAGGAACCAAAACAGCCAGTGCATTCCAATCTTATCCTTTTTTGTACAGAATGTCCCCAGTGAAGAGACAATATAAATAAAAAGGTCAAAACATGTTGGGTTAATAAATATGTGTTCTCACTTACCCACTGTTTTTGTTTTATTCTTGGTGATTCCTGTGTCTGTGCCTTTACACAGGAATTGTGAATTGGCCAAAACGTATGTATACCCATAGCTTCTTTCACCTACTTTACCTGCGTAAGAGATGCCTGTTCCATTGAAGTCCATGGCCCATGTTGTGCAGAAGAAGATATTCAGAAGTGAAAGAAGAAGGTTGCAGTCCCGATAGCACAGAATAAAATTGCAATACTTCTGCATCTTGTAACATGTATTGAACAAGTAAACATTTAATCATTTTCATTGCTATTTTAGCATGGCATTCAATGACAATCATCACGACTTAATAACAGACTATGAAGTGGCAGACCTGTGCTATCAAGGTAACTTCTGAATGCATGTGCAGGCTCATGTGTTTTAATGCTCTACCATACTTTTGAATGATCTCCCTGATATCCAGCTTTCTACAGGCTGGAAATATACAGTCTGCCAATGCAGACTTCATAGTTCTGTTGTGCACACATTTTTACCTCTGTCCATCCTAGTTCTGTTTCTCTGCCATGCCTTCCTCTTGAGCTGCTGTAGTTTGTTGTGTAACTCAAGGAAAATTAGTATGCAAGTATTTGTAGACTATAGCTGTGTTCCATTTTGTGGACAAAGCTTCCATCTGGCCTGGCTCAGCAGAGGATGGACAAAGGATGCCTCATAACATCAACATCCATTAATAAGCAGGTATTTGCTAGCAGAGATCATAACAAAGTCTGCATTCCAGGATCTAAGGAGCTAGCTTGCCTGTGGGAATCTGCTAACCTTCCCTGTATCCATGCTTATCAGTAAAGCACCTAACTACAGCTGGGCATGCTAGAGTGAAAAAATTTCATGTTGTTTAGATTGCAAGGCTTCATGGCATCAGCAGCAAAAAGCATTTCAGTAGGTGCTTAGCCCAGTTCCCCTCTGTTTGGATAATTTTGCTCAGAGCTGCAGACTTTGCTGACCAGCCATTCCAATTAATAGGAGCCTTGCTGACTGATTACTGATTGAGAACATGATAGCATTGTAACTTCTTTAATTAACTCAATAAATTCTCCTTGCAAGCCAGTCATATTGCTTTTCTTGGGATTCCAAAGAACTTTGATCCCCATGGCTGGGGTGGGGGGAATACAATGGTTGGCAAACATTTAGAATGCTATTTATATTTTCATTTTATTTTCCATCTATTTTGGCTGCACTTGCACAACTGCGCAGAAGCAGAGTTCTGAGAGTGTGGAAATTAGGAGTTCCACTTGAGCAACATGAATGGGGTACACTTGGTCAAACTGCAGTAGTTACCAACCTTGGACCCCAAAGAGATTCCAAGTAAAGATTGTTTTTCCTTTGCTCTCAAGCCGTCCGAGAGAGAGAGAGAGAGAGAGAGAGAGAGAGAGCGAGAGAGAGAGAGCGCGCGCGCGCGCGCGCGCGCGCAAGCATAGAGGAGGGGGATCCAAGTTCATGAAAATAGGGTAGTATGATTCATGACTTTCATGGCAAGAAATTTCTCACTCACTCACTCTCTTTCTCTGTCTTTGCCCTGACAGTTCTCAAGGTGATCACATTTTGCACTTTCCCCAAGACTTCAGCTGCTTGGGAAATTGCAAAATTGCATTCCATCTCCTTTTCTAGGCAAAATGTCCCCTTTTAAAAAGGTGTTGGGAGGAATGTTGTACAATGGGTGTCCTTCAGCAGGGACACAAGTATTTCTCTGTCCCAGTCCAAATTAACAAAAGCCACATATGATGGCAGGGTAGGTGGTCATTCTGGATGCCAGCAGATGTGGCTGGAGAGGGGGTTTGGTGAGGCCCAGGCTGGCATTTCCTTTTCACACCAACACACGCAGATAAGTTCTCTCATTCACAGACATAAATTGGAAGTGAGATTTTGTTTGAATGATTCCTGTATGACAATCATACTGCCGCCAAACAGCTGAGAAACAGGGAGTGTGATTTTCTTTCAGCAATATGCAGGAATTAATATTTCCATGTGCTTTGAAATTTGGAATTCACTTAATGCTATCACTCTACAGTTCTAACATTCAGGAAGCCTTTAGCAACCTATTAACTCTTTATAGATCATTAAGGCATTTCAAGCAAAGGGTACACCAGAAACTTTCAGTTTGGATTTATTTTTGGTTTTGTACTGACAAGAATGAGCAAGGTTAAAAGCTTTGCATCCATTTTTCATTTTTATTACAAAATATAAAATCTCAGTAAAGTATAATATCAAAATATATTGCTGAAGATTAAAAGTATTTTATAATGAAGACACATTGCTGAAGACTGTAAGTTCTTTATAGTTTAACATGAAATAGTATCTCCCAGGCATTACTAGTTTTAATAAAAAGCAAAGTTTCACCTAAGCACCACGATTCCTGTTCAGTTTGCAGAAGGCTTTCAGTTGACAGGTATGCAGGGTTACCATTTCCAAATGGTAAAGAAGAGCATGCATATTCCCTTTTGGGGGAACAGATTACCTCACACATTTTTTTCTACCTATCTGCCTTGCCAGCAGGTACTGGGATCTTGACGCAATAGGCAGTTTATTAACATGGTGTACTATTAGCTGTGAGCAGGCAAAATGGATAGAGCATAACTTTACACTATTGTTGAACAGAGCAGTCTGTTACCAGGAATTCCTGAAGAGCAGCAATGGATGGCCAGCAAACAGTACCACCACAGTTCAGGTGTGTACCAAGGTTCATCATCTATGACATCCTCAGGATTTTTGTGCAGTACTTGCAACCCCTGAAGGTTAAGATGATCTCATAATTAAACACATCCATTTTTGAAGGTCCATTAGCAGTCTGGGGATTTCTTACAGTGTAATAAACAGAAATAATGCATGTTTTAAACACTCCAAAGCACTCTATATGGACAATGATAAGGGATAATGATGAAGTTGAAAGAATATGAATGTGAGTATACCTGGGTAGCCACACAGTACATTTCCAACACCACGGCTTAACTACAATGAGTCTCCAGGGAACGGTGATGGGGCAGCTAGATTCCAATTCAAAAATGGCTTTTCCAGATAAAAGTTGCAGTTATATGCATTCTAAGGCTTATTTCTGTGTAAACAAGCTCAGATTTAGGTTCAGGCTTGGAGGCTATAGTACCATGCACACTTATGAGGAAGCTGGTTCAATTAAATGAAGTCAGATCTACTTCCTAGAGTCCCAGAGCCAGATTTCTCGAAAATGATGCCTGAATTAAGTAAAGGGTGTATTTCTCCCACCTCAGTCCCCCTTTCATGTAACTGTGATTAGGGACAAGAAATTCCAATCAGACCAAATTGCGCCAAGGCAAGCCTCCAATTTCCTGTTACATAGAGAAATGGAAAGACTGCTATTCTTCCCTAAGCAACCAAAAGTAAAATCCTATATGGTCTATTCAGATACCTCACAGACTTCAGTGGAACTTACTCCTGGGTTACAAGATATAGGTTTGCAGCCTATAGCTAATTTTACACATCCATTTTTGTATGCATGTATGCATGCTTTATAGAGGTAGGGTATATATGTTTTCAAAAGTGTATGACACAGAAGTATACTTCAGTTGTATTCTTTTGGCTGTATGCCTAAGATGTTTTGAACATGCAACACCTAAAAATGTGAACTATGAACAAATAAAGACATTCTTGTACTTCCAAGTGAATGTATCATTTATTTATTTTATTAAATGTATATCTCATGATCCAAGCAAAACTCACACTCAAACTTTACTACAAGATTGAGAGTTGCTCTTTCAAATGCGTAGTCAAGTGGCTTGCACAGGTTTGCTAAAATCTTTTTCAGCCTCTCGCTTCACATGATGTTAACTGCGTGCATGAAAAAGGCTACTTAATATTGTCACATTTGCCACCACCTCTCTTCATTTCGCTTGCTTCATCTAAAAGGCTAGAAAACAGAGAAGAGAGATTCCCAAGCCAGGAAGCCTCCTGCTCCTTCTGCCCACCCCTGTGGCATCTACTCTACTTTGCAACTTCTGGTGGTAGACAGGTCAGTGTGCAAGAAACAGAAGGCAGCAACTGTTCCTACTTCCTCTCTTTTGTTTACACTATGGCAGGAAGGACTGCTCACCAGAAAAGCTCAAGCAAATGCCTCTGCCTTCCTGTTCACTGCTGTTCTCTGGGCAGGGCAGCATAGCGGGTTGGTTGTGGACACAGCACCTGTCCTTTTGGGCACTCAGCAATGCTCTGCTTCTGGCCTGGTGCTGGAGGCCATCTAGTCCAGGCGCCTACATCAGCCAGTGAGGGAGGCAGCTGAACAGGCAGAGAGGTTTGCTTGTTTACTCCCTCCCTCTGTATGGTTAAGTCCAATTCCTGCCACTGCATCACACAGAAAGAGGATGCGCAGTTGGATAGGGCACTTCCACAGGGAGAAGGCAAGCAAGGAATTGGGAGGAGTGGCTGCAATCACTTGCTTAGCCACTTCTCCCTGTTGAGAAAAGGAAAAGCTGAGAGGTGGCATGGAGGCCACTTAATCTATGGGCCAAGAGTCTGAAAAGCAAACGTATTGTCTGGAATGGATGAATGAATGAGGTAACCTTTTTTGGATAGCTTACAATACTTATTATTTGTCATAATGGCTTTCCATGATTATTTCAGTTCTTTAATTTACTATGTGATTATAGAGATGGTGCATTTTGCTTAACAATATCCTATACACACCTAAAACTTTGGGCCAGACTGGACTTAATGCTATCTTATAAAATATAGGGTGCAGGCTTTCTGGTTTTATGATTTTGCATGATGCAGAATGTTGCATAAGGCATTTGTGTAATGTCCCTATTCAAATCCATGATGCAACCATTCCTGGGCAAGAAGCTACTGTTAGGATGAACTATGGAAAAAAGAATGGTTTTTGATAGTCAGAGGTGTCAGACAAGGCTGTATTTTATCTCCCCATCTGATCAATCTATACCCGGAGCATTTCAGAAGGAAAGATGGATTAGGATAAGAGAAAGGAGTAAAAATTGCTGGAAGGTACATCTATAATTTAAGATATGTAGATGACATCATATTACTGGCTGAAATTAGCAATGAATTGAACCAGCTCCTGATTACAGTGAAATAAGGTGCAAAAACAGGTCTGCAGCTGAACATTAAGAAAACAAAAATCATGACCACCAAAGAATTATTCAGTGTTCATGTCAAAATGAAGAAAGTTTCATCGAGAAAGATTTTCCATACCTTGGCTCAACCATCAATTAAAAAGTAAACTGCAACCAAGAAAGTCGAAAACTAAGATCTGGGAGGACAGCAATGAAGGAACTAGAAAAGCTTATCACAGGTAAGGATGTATCACTGAAGACCAGAGCAGAGATCATCTACCCTATTGTATCATTATCAATCACTACATAAGAATGTGAAGTCTGGACAATAAAGAAAACTGATAGGAAGAAAATTGATGCATTTGAATCTTGACACTGGAGAAGAGCTTTGAGAATACCCTGGACCAGTGGAAAGATCAACAATAGGTCTTAAATCAAGCCAGAACTCCTCTGGAAGCAAAAATGACATTGAAGTTGTTGGACTTAAGGCATATCATGAGAAAGGAAAACACTCTGAAGAAGATAATGTTAGGGAACCTTGAATGTTAACAGCAGAAGAGAAAGACCAACAAAAAAGATATATTGTTTCCATAAAGGAAGCCACAGTCTTGAGTTTTTAGGAGCTGAGCATTTTGGAGGACACTCATTCATAAACTGGAGATTACTTAAAGGCACATAACAATAAATACAGCTAATGCTTCTTAAAGATATGTATTGGTAATGTCCAGAAATTGTGGGGAGAGATAATTACATTAAAAACAACACCAAAGCTACCATCAGTGACCAGTTTTGACAACCATGCATATGTGAACTTGTGAATAAGTAAAGCCACTCTATGCCTCTGCACCATCCCTCACCAGGTAGTGTGGAGGACTGGGCTGGCTGGGCCCACTGTCTACCATTGCCCACTGAGAGGCAGGGTGCAGGTGAGTAGGTGAGAGAAGCAGGTGAGGGGCCTGCTTCTTCTATGACCAATCCTGCATGTTGCACTACTCAGCCGGAGGCAGCAACTGAGCAGAAAGACGCCAGCTGTTCCCACTCTGTGGACCAGAAAGGACGAGCAAGGAGGCAGCCTTGGGCCGAACCGCTGCTTTCCTTGTACATGTCCCTGTCAGCCCACAGGAGGGGCGAAGTTTAGACACAGGCTTTGGAAACAAGGAAGAGGAGAGGAAGGGCTGTTTACTGCCCAGCTGCATTGCCTCGCCTCGCCAGTGTGCGACTCTTCCTGGCAGCGTCAAGCACCGTTTTCTAAACACGTGGCTGCACTTGTGTGCAGTCCTAGCGTTTCCTAGCTATGACGGATCAACGCCCAGCCCAGCCCAGCCCAGCCCCAGCTCAGCCCTGACGGAGGGACAGCCACTCCACCCTTCCCTCCACCTCGGCCTCCTCCCGACTCCGACTGGCAAGGGAGGGGTGAAGAGTTTCCGCTTTCGCAGACTCCTCCCCCCTCGGTGGGTGTGGATTTCTCTCATTTCTCTCCCACCCCACCCATGGCGCATACGAGGCGGGAAGAGAGAAGGGGGTGCTCGGGGAGACCCCTAAAACGCCTTGACGGCTTCCCGCGGCCCCCAGAGAGCCGCCTGGCGAAGTGGCGATAGGGCCGCGTCTACCTGCGTCGCTCTCCGGAGCCACACGTTCCCTGGCTGCCTTTGACACGGGGCTGGGAGGAGTCGGCTGCGCGCTGCCTCTTGGACTTTTTTGTTTTCTTAAGGTGGCGTTGGAGGACTGGCGAGTGGCTTCCCAACTCTTAGGAAGCGCCCTGCTCCTGTTCAAGAACTCCAAACAATGCTAGAATCGTAGAATCGTACAGTGACCCCAACCGCCTGCGAAGTGCAGGACACAAGACTCCCATCCAGATTCCAACCGGCCCTAACATTGCTTAACTTCCATGATTAGGCGGGATCATGCTCTTACTTATTTTAAAACATTACTATACTGGGCCTATTGCCAGTTGACTCCCTCAATGGTCCATAAACAGGTAAAATACAAAAGAAAACCCAACATCACAGTAAGATGAAACCAGTGCTCTTTTTGTCATAGAATGCACCGGAACAGAATTCCAGCACCTTTTTTCGACAGATTTTCCAAGTTTTAAAAGTAACTTTTGAAAATTTGATGTTCGGTCCACGTGGATTTGAATCACCCTGTCGAGCATAGCAGGTCGGTGGCAAAATCATTAAAATGGTGCATGCGGGCTGCTTGTGCGTTAAATCCTATGCATGCATACTTTGTCCGCGCTGGTTGTGATGGTGCTGCTCAGCTTGTGATTGGTCGTGCGGTCGCGCACTAAGTGCTTTCTGCGGGTGGCAACCGTTATGTTTCGTTACACAACTGACGTGTATAGGTGTGTGTACAGTGATTGACTACGTGCGAAAGGTAAATAATTTCATGAGTTCCGGCACCTTTTTTTCTTACAAAAAAAAGCACTGGATAAAACCAGGAATAATTTACATTTATTATCAATAAAAACAAAATATATAACCAATATCACTACAAACAATATGAAACCAATGACAATAATAAATAATAATAAAATAATTAATCCACTTCAGTCTATATGGAAGCTAGATGGGATTTGTAGCCCAGCCCTTCTCCCATTCATAGTTCTTGTAAAGAATGACATTTTCTAGAAAAAAGCAGCTAGTCCTCATTGTTCTGGAAATAAAAGGCCTTTAAGAGTTTTGATAGTTACAGTGGCCCCATTCTTTAGTAACTGTACTTGGCAATCCGCATGAGCCATAATAGACTGCTGCCCATGGTGCTCTGCTTTACCTCCTGCTACATTCCTACTTGTTCTAACCTTCTAACCTGCTTTACCTCCTACTAAATTCTAAACTTGCTGCATGACTCTGTCTTCAGTATAAGTCCTGATCTTGGCATACTAGGTTCTCACAATGTGGGTCTCCTGACTTTGTTTCCTACTTTAAGCAGATTACCTCTCCTAATGGTCATTGGCCTTCCAGCAAGGCTTTTATGGTGCTAGTTTCCTATTTCATTCACAAAATTTAAAGGGAGTTCTAAAGAGGTTGTCTTCAACTTGCATTCCTCCCATATTTTCCCAGGGCTTCTTTTATCTTATATTGCAGATCAGAAAAGAAAAGAATAGATGCACAATCTGTTCTCATTGGTAGAACTCTCTGCCTGGAAGCACCACAAGTCTACATATGCAGCAGAATGAGGTGATGGAATGCATGATCATGAATCCAAACGATTCCTTCATCAAGAACTCATAATGAAGCCAACCTGGCACTAACAGTGTCATCTTGGGGGCACCAGATTAAGACTATTTCTGCTTCTGTGCATTTGATGGCATATGATGGGCTATTTAATACATCAGCTTAATTGTTTATTGTTGACACTGATGT